CTTCCCTTTTTCTTTTCCTCTCCGGATCAGTTTGGTTATGTTCAAAGCCCTTGAGCAGTTCCCAATAGCCAAATGTCAAATTGAAGGGGTGAATGGCACTTATTAGTTGTATAAGAACATTTTTCTTCAAAGAGAAAAAGCAACAAACTAGAAGAAGAAGAAGATCACACACTTGCCTATAGGCTGGGTGTCAATTGGACTGGATTTGGTCTGATCCAGTCCAATGTGAGTCCATTACAAATAGATCAGGTCCAATCCAATTCAATGAACATTATGGACCATATTGGACCGGTCCAATTCAATGTCTGAACTATCCAATCTGTTTAAATTTGTTTTAATTTAGACTAATCCTAACCCAGACCTGGTCATGGACACCTATATTCTTATCTTCTGCCAATGGACCAGATATTGGCTCAATCCAACCCAATCCAATATAAATTCATTACAGATGGACCAGGTCCAATCCAACCCAATAAATACTGTAGACCATTAAGTCTGGACTGCTCCAATTCAATGTCATATTGGTCTGTCCAATCCGTCCAAATTGATTTCAGTTTGGACAGGGTCTAATCCAAAACCGGTTGATTGACACCCCCTACCTATATAAGAAGCAAATATTAACTGTTTCAAAACTGAGACAATTCAAATAAGGACTCCAAATCTTAAAACTTACACACCAATCCTACTAAAACAAAACAGAGCAAAAGTAACTCCAAGAGTGATCAGTAGAAAGACCTAAATTTGTCTTTGATTGACACCCTACCCTAAAATGACCATAACTCCTACAAAACGCATTGGATTTAGAAGATCTTGGTCTCATTGGAAAGATTACTTAATTACTTATCTAATGGCACCAAAAACATGCTAAATGAACAAGTTTTAACCACTTCACGTTTTATGACTGAGTTTCAGGCTTGTGATTGAAATATACCTTTTTAGCATCACTGATCAACTTTGTTCTCATTGGACAAGTTTTGTCACTTTGAGTATACAAATCCATTCTCACCAAACACCATCAAAACTAAACCAGAGTTCATATATGCACTGAACTGACATTTACATTCTTCCCAAAGAGGAAAATATATCTTGAAAAACTTTAAAAATATGGTAATCTAGAAAAATTGCAATATTTGGTACCCAGGCTCTTGGATACAAGATATGATGATGACTCCTGCTTCTATTCCTAACCGACAGAGAGCCCCATCATGGGATATTTTGAAGTGCATTCATAGGGTGCCTGAAGTCTTTTTAAGTGATGGTCTGGGGTATCCCTTCTCTTTTCAATCGGAAATCATGGTGCAATTTTGTATTGGCCATACAAATCACTGTGCTAATCTAAGGCAAAATAGATATGTAAGTGATCTTGCATCCTTGCTTTTGCTCTTTCTTTTCTTGTATGACGAGTCTACGTAGTATTGTTTTTCCCTTGTAAATGGTTGCATGGTACACAAATGGAGAATTGAAATCCAGACTGCCCAAGAAATGAAATACCAGTTTTTTTCATCCTATCTCACAACTCACAAACCGAATGTGAGAAGGGAAGGAATATTGAAGAATATTTCTTGCCATTCCTATTTATCTTGGACAAAACACGTAAACTTAAGCAAACAGTAGGGGTACAAATGAACTGGATCATAATCTGATTCAGATTCAAATCCGATCATATTTTTGTCATATTTGGATCGCCCGCTATCTGATCCTAGTTATTTATTTATAGACAAGTTTATATTGCATTTTTGTAATTTTTTTTATAAAAAGACATACATATAATAAAAAAAATACTTGTTTTTTTTTGTTTTGGTTTATATAGATATTATGTTTTTTCAAAAAATTAAATCGGATAGGATCGTATTCGAATATCCAACGTGCAACATCCTTATATCATTGGATAGGATTCAATGAAACAGACCTCTCACTTCTGTTATCGTTGCCATCATTAAGATTCAATGAAGCTGCTTGCAGTATCTGCTGGTTTACATATACTTGAAATGTTTCCAAAAGCAAAAGAAAAATGATTTGATATTTATTATTTCCATCTGCACTGATGTTATTCATCTTTTCCAACTTTTCAGAAAACCTTTCTCAATTTGCATTTTACATAGGGGCATTCTTTTTTTGGATTTTGAAAGAGGGGAAAGTTGGTCAATAGGATTTTGGTTTTCATTGACCAAGAAACCCATGTTTCTTTTTCAGATTTATGTGGAAACGAAGGAAAGTTTATTTTTCAAGGTAAGTGATACACATCTGGCCATCTCCTAGGTGGGTAAATAACTTTCCCACCCAAGAGGTAAGTTGCTAACACTTGAATAGGACAAAAATGTCTCTTTTAATAATGAATTTTTATGGTTAAAGCCAATGTTTTCGAACCGTCATTGACCCTGATGGTCGGACCGTTCAAGCGATCGGATCGATTTTACCCCAAACCTGGTCTCTGATCAAAAACCATTGAATTAGTCAATGAACCATTGACCTGGACGATTTGACCATTGAACTGTTCGACCCAGAGAACGGTTTGCGGTTTATTAACTTGTCACAACAAAATGAAAAGGGAAGAAGATCTCTTAGATCTAAGATCTAAGATCTCTCAGATTTGAGATCTACTGAGAGAGATGTGTGAAACAGTGAGAGAGATCTCACATCTAGAGTTCTTGGAGAGAAGTTTAGACTCTATATGACAGATCTGCGAAAGAGAGAGTGAAATCTAAGACTGAGAAATCTTAGATCTACTCCAGTTTTTCACCATCACCACCATTGTCGCCGCTGCAGCCTTCAAGCCCTTCTTCTTCTTCTTCTTCTTCTTCTTCTTCTTCTTCTTCTTCTTCTTCTAAACTCTTTCAGTCGACAACTTCTCAAATACTTCTCATTCCATCTTTATTTTCTCTTGTATTTATATGCATCTTACCCTAATATTCCAATCTAATGGGTAAGATGACATATCACTGTTAAAATATTCAAACCGTCCAAACCGTTTGACCTGGATGGTCAAACCGCTGACCCGAAAATCGATGGCCAGAACAGTTCCGTTTCCGGGTCGATTTTTAAAACCATAGTTAAAACAATCAGTCTTACTTACTTGGAAAAAAAAAACATGGATAAATACATTTACCTGGATAAGTAATTTACCGAAAAGTGAACGAGGCCCTAAAAAAAATGATTTATATGATTTTGGAGTCATACCAATACCCAAGGTTTAAAATTTCAATACGGTATGCATGGAAATCGGATGTTTCGTCTTTTTTCATGTGTATCGGACCCATATCGGGGGTGTACCAGGGGCGTATCGTATCGTATCTTTGAAAAATAGATACAGGACACGCATGAAAATCAGGCGTTTCATCTTTTTTCATACATATTAGACCTGTATTAGGGGCGTATCAGGGGTGTATCGGGGCGTATCAATAGCGTATCGACGTAAAAGATACGACCAAAAACTAAAAAAAAATTAAAGGGAAAACCAAGCTCCTTTTCCCCGAAATAAGCCTTCACCTCCAAATGACTCTAAAACTCCAAACCTCATTCCTAGAGTGCTAGATTTGCAAAAGTTTGCAATAAACAAGTGTGAGTCGTTAATTTTTTTAAAGATTTTTCAAATTTTGAAAAGAAATATGGCAAAAATAGGTAAATTTTTTTCAATTTTTTATAATATCTTATGATTTCTTTTTTTTTTTCTTGAATGTTTAAATTTATGTTGATCTACATTTCTTACATTCAAAATCATAATTTTTTTGTTATCATTAGATTTATGGAAATTTCGTTAAGATATTTAAGGAAAATATAAATTAACAAAAAAATCTAAAAATGTAATTTTTTTCTCTACCTATACAAACTAAATACGTTTTAGATCTATGGATTTATCTATCATATCCATAAATCAATTGAAATTGAAATTTCTTCTTCAATATTTTTTGATTTTTTATGTTTTTAGAATTAAAAAATACATAATAATTAATTACATTTTATCATTTAATCACAACAATTGAACATATTATAATTCTATGGATGATCTATCATATACACAGACCAATTGAAATTTCTTCTTTAATAATTATATTTTTTATTTTTTTATTTTAAAATTAAAAATGATTAATTAATTAATTATATTTTATCATTCGATCACAATGATTGAATATATTATAATTCTATGGATGATCTATCATATCCACAAAGCAATTGAAATTTTCTTTTTTAATAACTATTTTTTGAATATATTATATAATGTTTATTTTTTATAATTTTTATAAATAAATAATAAATAATTATTAATTATATTTTCACATACAAGTTGTGCCAATGCATGTTTTATGGTTGGATAGGAGAGTTGGGTTTTTCCCATCCCATAAAACATTAAAACTTAAGAATTATAATTAAGCAAAGAATTTTTAATAAAATTATAATTAGCTATAACATATTTCTTCGTAAAACCATTAAAATATATTAATTTAATGTATATACACCTCATTGAGATCTTGTATTTAGCGTTGTTGATGTAATTTTATGATTTATTAAAATATTTATAGTGTGTCCAAGATTATCTTAATTTTTCACCGATAAGCATGTACATCCAAGACGTATCCCAATATGTCTCTTAAAACTGATTTTCTGATACACTTGATGTTTCCAATACTTTAAACCTTGCCAATACCACGTTTTCTTCGTGGCACTGGTATTTGTCACATAGCACAGCATTTTTCGTGGGATTTAATGGGAAGGGGAAGGATTTTATAAGAGGGATGGATATGTGATTTTTATAAATAAACCGCTTGTGAGATTGGAGAGGAGAATGATTTAAGGATGTGCATGCAAGCTTTAAGATTAGAGAATTCTTGACCCCCTTACATGCTCTATAACATGGACATAGATTTGGCAGCAAGAGCGAGACTTAGGATTAAAAACAGAACCCAATATTTATGGGGTTGTTTTTTGTTGCCATTTGAGATAATGTGAATCGTACAAGCTTCACATTTCCTTATCCGATATCTAATACCCCTACAAATTCTTCCTACCACTAATTGGGTACCTTCACCAGTTTCCCTCGTATAAAAATTGCACCCAAATTCTTAACAAGATGTTACCTTCTACAATAGCCGTTCAACTTTATGCTAACTTGAACAAAATGTGAAAATCAATCTGCGTTGATGCCAACCTAATTAAAGAGGTACATTGTAATGATAAATGTTATCACTGAAAGCAACCACTGATACCAATGGGGTTGCAGTTTTTCTCAGTAGCTTACTGGCTCAAGGACCTTTCCCTCTCCGGTTTCCTAGTGTAGTCTTCTGGGCTCCTTGAACCATAAGGAGAACGAGAGTATGATCGTTCTCCACTGTACCTTCTATCTGATGGTGAAACTGACCTGCATAAGAAGACAAGTAACAAGTTTTCTGGTAAGACAAATACCATGTTAAGCTAATTAGTGCCAAGTAGAAACCAATAAAAGAATGCATACCTTGAGTAACGCCTTCGCCTAGGGGATGGAGAATAGTAACTAGGGCTATGCGAACGAGATCTTGCATGATGTGGTGAGTGGGAGTAGCGTGGGGAGCGGGAATAACGAGGAGACCGCCTACGGTCATAAGACTGGCCCCTGCCAAGAAGAGCATCACCACATTAGCAACCTTTCAACAAAAAAATTAGAGTAGCAAGTATAAACATATGCATCTTTTTAGTGTCAACTTCTAGAGTTGCAATTCTAAAACAAAGCCTTTCAGCATCAACTTTTAGATGAGTATGACATCCATGCTCATGGCACACCGGTTCAATAAAATTGATAATTCATTGAGTTGGATTTGATTCCAACCTTTTCCAGAAAGCCTAATAAGTATAATATGTCAACTCCAGCCGAGGTTTGGATTTGATTATCCTAATCAAATCTTTGATTAGATTTTGAATGCTGAATAACGGGTGAATCTTCAAGATCACTTCAGATCATCAAGATAGTTTGATGGTTTTTTAGTTGCAAATACTTTTATATCTATTTTTAGGAAATTCTAATACTAACAGGTATTAGAAGATCTATTTGTTTCTCTAAACTTTTTCTACCAATGTCTTTGGTGTCAATTCCAAATTTATAAAAATGCCAATTCCATCTTTAGGTTTTGACTCCTAAAAATCCTAATGGTGTTACGTCTGTCAGGATCTATTTTAATTAATAGCAGGTATTTCATGTGAATGCTGGTTTATCCAATTTCCATGTTATTATATGCAGAGCTATTCCTTATTGAACTTTTATTCACTGCTAAACCATCTCCCTAGCTTTTATTTTTTCTTATTCTCTTACCATCTTTCTTTATCTAATTGTTCTTGTTACTGAGTTTCAACAGACCCTAAACATTACCTAAATCCGTTACCTTTTCTGTTTTCTTGAATCTTGAATATTCTTATGTGGTGCCAGCTTCTTTGCCGGGTAAGCCAAGCCTCGAAACAAGCAAGCTAAGAGCCTTGTGGTCTGTTTCCAGTTTGGTATAAATCATTTTAGAGGAAATAACAGTCACAAGAATTTCATTCCGATTATCTTATCTTTGTCAACCCATTTTTCCCCTTTAAACTGATTTGATTACAGTATCTCAGAAAATGCAATTAAAACCCTATCTCATACATAGTCAACACCCATTGCTTCCCTTAGACATTTTTTTTATCAGCAAAAGGAGAATTTTATTCAATTAAGATAATCGGTTACAGAATTACAGCAAATATAGCAGACATTGCACCATAGTGTTACTATAAAGCCCAGAACAGCGAATGCCTATGAACTCCCTGTTTGGCTAATGAATCAACCATCCCATTTGCAGTTCTCCTGATCCATGTGAATGAGGCATTGAGTTCTCTTGCTAGGCTTTCGATCTCTCTTAGGGAATATCTATAAATCCAAGAAGCATTACCCCTTGAATTGGTCCATGATATCACTCTGTTTTTGAGTTCCCTTCAACCTTCAAATTCTGAAGATCTGCTTGCTTGGCAAGTTTTAATCCTTCTAGCAGAGCTAAAAGTTCAGCCTTTCTCTTCTTCTCGTTCAGATTGGGCTGATAACATTTGTTTTATTTTTAAAATTTAGCTAGAGAGTTATTGGGCCCAAGGCCCATTAGTTTATGTTTAGTTAAGAGTGTTTACTTATTGTAATGATTGATGGAGAGGGAGAAAGAGAGAGAGAGAGAGAAGAAGAGGTACGATTGAGAGAAAAAGTTCATACTGGCTGTCGCCAATCTTCTATTTATATTACTTTAATGAAGGAATAGAAATTACAAGTATGCCCCTGGCGGCACACCCTAGAACTAAAAATAATAAAGAAAAAGACAAGTAAATAACTGACAGTATCCTAAGAAGTCAGCCTACTAACAGCAGCTATAAAGTAACAATCAAATAAGCCTTACAACACTCCCCCTCAAGTTGGGCTGAATATGTCTATCATGCCCAGTTTGTCACATAACTCATTGTGTCGCAAACATGGAAGCCCCTTTGTGAGAACATCAGCAAGTTGTTCCTTGGAGTTGACATAAGGAATGCAAATTTCCCTTTTTTCCAATTTTTCCCTTATGAAGTGTTTGTCCACCTCAATGTGCTTGGTCCTCTCATGTAAGACAGGGTTGCTGGCGATGTTTATTGCAGCCTTGTTATCACAGTAAAGGGACATAGGACTATGAACAACAACTCCAAGCTCCCCTAGGACATTCTTTAGCCAAAGGACTTCAGCCACCCCATGTGCCATAGCTCTATATTCRGCTTCCGCGCTTGACCTTGCTACCACACTTTGTTTCTTGCTTTTCCAGGTCACCAGATTTCCTTCCACAAATGTGCAATACCCACTAGTGGACTTTCTGTCATCCACAACTCCTGCCCAATCAGCATCTGTAAAGACTTCCGCCTTTAGGTGATTGTGTTTACTGAATAGTAGGTATGTTCCGGGATATTTCTTCAAGTATCTAAGAACTCTCTGTGCTGCCTCCATGTGTGGTTTTTTAGGAGAGTGCATGAACTGGCTTAGGACCCCAACGGAATAGGCAATGTTTGGACGGATCATGGACAAATAAATCAGCTTTCCCACTAACCTTTGGAACTGTTTCACATCTTTCAGAGTTTCACCAACAGTCACCTAACTTGTGGTCCGCATCCATAGAAGTATCTGTCAGCCTTGCATTTAATTTGCTTGTATCCTATAATAGATCAAGGGTGTATTTCCTTTGAGAGACAAAGATACCCTTTTTTGAGCGACCAACTTCAATCCCAAGGAAATACTTCAGGGGGCCTAGATCTTTCACTTCAAATTTAGATGCAAGGGATTGTTTCAAGTTCTGTATCTCTGAGCTCCAACTTCCTGTAATGATGATATCATCCACATATACTATCAATACAGCAACCTGTTCCTGACATCTCTTCACAAAGAGTGTATGATTAGACTGACATTGTTTGAAGCCCATCTGTTGAACTGCCATGTGAAACTTACTGAACCAGGCTCTGGGAGACTGTTTTAAGCCATAAAGAGACTTTAGCAACTTGCACACCTTATTTTCACTCCCCTTGGCACAGAATCCAGGGGGTTGAACCATGTATACTTCTTCCTCTAAGTCACCATTCAGAAAAGCATTCTTTATGTCCAGTTGATGCAATTCCCAATCAAGATTAGCAGCTAAGGACAGGAGAACCCTAATTGAGTTCATCTTAGCCACTGGGGCAAAAGTCTCATCATAGTCAACTCCGTATACTTATGTGTACCCTTTGGCTACTAATCTTGCTTTGTACCTTTCAACTATTCCATCTACCTTGTGCTTAACCATGAACACCCATTTACACCCCACAGGGTCTTTCCCCTTTGGAAGATCCACCAATTCCCAAGTCTGATTTTTGTGAAAAGCATTAATCTCCTCCATGGCATCTGTCCATTCAAGGCATTTTAAGGCTTCTGCAACATTTCTGGGAACAGGGATGCAATCAACTGCAGATAGGAAGGCACGGTATGAGGGGGAAATGTGATCATAGGAGACAAAATGGGCAATGTGGTGTTTGGTAGTGCATGACCTGACTCCCTTTCGTTGGGCCATAGGAATGTCAAGGTCATCCACAGTAGGAGCAGGGTTAGGGGGTGGACTTACCTCCTGGGAGTCTAACGGTGTCAGTTGCTCAATGTTTGACTGCTCCACATCTCTATTACATTGCTGATCTCTACAACGTGTACGTTGGAAGACACGAAAGAGAGCAAGGTCCGGAATAGAAGGAAGAGAGACTTGGCGGACCTGAACCTGCTTCTCCTCTTCCACACTACTACTCTCCCCCCGAGGAGAAGGGAAGAATGGCTCAGACTCAAAGAAGGACACATCTATAGACACAAAAAACTTACGACTAACTGGATCAAAGCACCGATACCCTTTTTGAGAGGGGGGATACCCCAAAAAGACACAAGGAATGGACCGAGGGTCTAACTTACCTCAGGATGGAGACAAGTCATGAACAAAGGCACGACAACCAAAGACTCATGGGAATGGAAAATAAAGGAGACTAAGGGTACAATAACTGACGATGGGCCATGTAGTTCAGCACTTTGGAAGGCATGCGATTGATGACAAGAAGCTACAAGTATAGCATCCACCCAAAACCTTTTTGGAACATTCATGTGTAACATTATCCCGCGAGCTCCTATGAATAGATCCGTAGGAAGCAAAGAACTCATTGAGCTCCCCATGGAAGTATTCCTTTGCATTATCGGATTGGAAGATCTGTATTTCAACATGGAACTGCATAAGCACCATCCTCTACTTTGGAACTTCGTCTCTACTACGCATAGGAATTACCAATGTATAGCGAGAGTAATCATCGATCAATGTGATAAAGTACTTATATTCGCCCTCAGAGATTACATTGGTAGGCCCCCATACATCAAAATACACAACATGAAAAGGAACATTTGATCTTTTATTACTTGAGTGAAAAGTTGTTCTACACTGTTTGCTCAACTGACACGTTTGACACATGAATTCTGACACTGAACATGACTTAAATAAAACTGGAAACAAAGACTTTATTATTTCGAAAGAAGCATGGCCTAAACGACTATGCCACAAAAAAAAAAAATTGACTCTTATTTGACTGACTATGTGACTCTGAGGACGACATCGAGAGACTAGCTTTGTTGTCGAGAATGTAGAGACCATCCACTAGGCTTCCTCTACCAATCGTTCTCCCAGAAGTTAGATCCTGAAAAACACATAAGTTAGCAAAAAGTCACGCTACAATTCAAGGAGCTTGTAATGCTACTAATTGAAAGAAAATTTATAGGAAGTTGAGGGACATGCAATACACAATTCAGGTTAAGACCATGGGGAAGAGATATTAATCCTTGGCCTGCAATGGAGGAAAAAGAATCATCTGCAAGTCTCACTCTATCCCTTCCTAACAAAAGGCTATAAGACTGAAACAAGTTTGGTTTACCGGTCATGTGGTTGGAGGCCCCTGAGTCAATGATCCAAGGGGAATCCGTGGGAGTGACATGGAATGCAGAAGCCGTATTACCTGAAGTAGATGCAAATGAAGTAGAGGGAGTACCGGTGACTGAGTTGTAAGATTCCAGGTGCTCTCTGAAGGAATTCATTATATCTT